TTGGTTCTACCTTGATACGAGTTCTAAGTATTGAAGACAAAAACTGCCAGTTCTACAATAGCTTTTTGTTCACAAGTCATACGAGTTCTTTTGCTCTTCAGTTCCAATGTTTCAGCTCAAGCGTACACAGCACAAAAACACAATTTTCAGCGTTGAACAGCGGTCCCTTCAAGTTGTCACATGCCTCTCAGTGCCAAACCACAGGTGCCCTTCTTGAGGTTCAAGTTCATAGAGGGCTCAAAAACTCGTTGAGGTCACGGGTGACTCTTGTTAGATTCATGACTTGGCCTTGCCAGTCTTTGCCCGAGCTTTTGCAGCTTGGATTTCCCCGTGGTGCTTTTCCACATCTTTGGCGATGCCCCCGATAAAGTTCTCCAAGGAGTTGCGGTTGATGGCGGCCTGGGACGGCAGCTCGCCGAGGATGAGAAGCTGGTTCAAGTTCATGATGCGTTGACTCAAAGTCTTGTAGGCGTCCTTCACTCCCGACAACTCCGGCACACCAACCAGCTTGGAGCCGTCTTTGACCAAACGCTCGCATGCATCTTTCGCCTTCACCGCGAGCTTCTTGACTGACTCCGGAATTTGGCCCTGCTCATCCATTCGTTTCTCGTCCGCCTGATATGTTTTGCGATGAAGCGCATAAGGGCAACCAACATGTAGCTTCCCTTCAAAGGAATGTAGGGCTACGAACCCTGAGAGAACCCTGAGAGGAAGGAGAGAGAGAGAGAGAGGGAGAGACCGTGAGAGGAAACCATGACCATGATAAAATTCACCGTGACCATGAGAGGAAAAACCATGAGAGGAAACTGATGAAGAATGTCATCCTTTTAAGAAGTTGCTCATGGAAGCCACCCACCCCTGTTCAAAGTTCACCCGCACCTGTTAAAAGTTGACCCACCCCATGCAAGCCACCCACCTTGCTCAAAGTGAACGTCCATTTGAGCTTGCTCATGGAGTCCGCCAAGGCATGGGCCTGCTCCTTGTTCAGCTTCTTGTCTCCCTGGACTTGTTCGCCTGATTCGTTGCCTCGTAGCTCGGTCTGGCTGAACTTTCGGAATTGCAGGTACTCAAGCTTTGACACAGGGTCAATCTTCGACATGAGCTCGCCGTTGTTGATCGCCTGGTTCATCAGGGCCTCATTTCCGTGAAAGTGACTTGCCAACATCAAAGTCTTTGGCATGGCCTCAGTCTTGTCCTTGGCGACGTTGGCCTTCCAAACCTTCCTGTATTCTTGGAATTGTTGACGATCAGACATCACGCGAAAGGATCCATCATCGCCCTTCTCGAACAAGCTGTTGATGAGCTTGGTTTGGTAGGCTCGCTGCCCCTCCTTGGCTGTTTTGCTTTCCACCTGAAACATGTGCACTATATGGTCAGGTAGCGATCCATTGCTCAGCATCTTGTGGAACTTTTGGGCCTTCTGTTTATCCCTCACCTCTGACTCTTCACCTTCACCGCGTTGCTCTGCCCAATCCTGGATCGCGTCCACCGTCTCACGGATTGAGCCTGAAGCGGCTGGTTTCTTCTTCGCCCCCTCCGCTGCCGCCGAGCTTGGTCGCTTCATTGCTGGCATGGCTAGTCAAGGGAAGCGGATGGCAGTCAATCGAAATCACGTTCAAACTCAAAGACTTCTTGAGATTGGCGTTCAGGTTCACAAATGAGTGCTGAAACTCATCAAAGCTTTCAACAGTTCAGCAACCTTCACTTGTACTAATGACCGAAAACTCAATTCAAATGATGGATTGTTTGTTAGATTTCTATCAAAAATATTTACAATTTTGAATGGCTGAGTAGCGGATGGGGTCATAGTTTGGTAGAAAGTAGGTCGTAGTTTCTAGTCATACTTTGGTAGTACTTTGGTAGTAGTTTAGAGAGGAGTCATAGTTTGATTCCACAAAACACTGTATATACCAATGTTTTTGCATGTTGACCTTCAAAGTGCTACCAAAGTGCTACCAAAGTACTACCAAAGTATGACTAGAAACTACGACCTACTTTCTACCAAACTATGACCCCATCCACTACTCAGCCATTCAAAATTGTAAATATTTTTGATAGAAATCTAACATAAACTTCGCTCAACTCAAGGCGCAACAAGGCTGAAGTGGCACTGGGACAGCAGTATTCTTTCATACCTTTCGCTCTTGCTGGTACGCTGCCATCATCAAAGGCATTCAAAAACCGCCCTGCACGAGAGGGATTCTACGTCTAAAGAGCAAAGCCCTCACAGAGGGATTCTACTTCCCGCTCTTTGCCCTCGGCTTGCGCAAGCGAGCGTTACGCGCCCTACGACGCTCTTCACGGGAACCCGGGTTTGGAGCCTGAACTGGAGGAGTAGGGGTGCTCGACGCCGCAGTATTACTAGCCGCATTAGCCATGATGTCCTGGATGAAGTGCATGAGCTGGTAGGAATAATCGCTGACATGGCCATGTTGAATCAAGTTACCGTTGTCATCCATGGTCAAGAAACCAGTCACCTCATCGTCGGTAGCGCGTTCCTCCTCTTCACCCTCAGCAGACTCATCCTTCCCTTCGTCCTCCACACTCTTGTCATCATGGATGTTGGGCGACTCGGGAGATGGATCTTCCTTGTTCTCCTCAACCCCTTCAACAGGTTGAGAATCAGGGAACTCTTCCTTGGGTGAAAAGACAGGTTGAGAGTTTTGCAGAACCTGAGAGTCATCCACATCCACCCCTGAGGTATCAGGTACTTGAGAGTCCTCGTTCAAAGGAGGGTCATCCACCCCAGGGCTCCACTCTTCGGAAGATAGTTCTCCAAGAACCAAAGTTTTAGCATCATCTTCCTGCTTGGGAAAGGCGCCAGCTGTGGCACCAACCTTCAAATCCTTGTTCTGGTGCACGTTGTCCGACATGTTCAAAGCGCACAGCTGGTCGAATGTATACCAAAAATAGTTTGAGCTTGAAAGAGCTATATCAGAACAAGTTCCAATTCAAAGTGGTTCAGATCTTGCGTTTGTCAGCTTCAAACTATGGAGGCACAAAAACAATCCAAGAAGTTCGCGTCGTATCTCTCTCACTCAAGGTTCACTCAAGGTTTGGCTTTCACTGCTGTCAACATAAAACTGCATATGAAGTCACGAAGTCTTCAAAACCTGGAACCCTGAAAGGATATACCATGAGAGGAATTTGTGCTGAGGGGACTGAACCTGTCGACATAAAGTGCGCATATGAAGTCATGAAGTCCTCAAAAACAGAAACCCTGAGAGGAGAGACCATGAGAGGAATTAGGACAGAACCTGAGCCTGAAACCTCAAACCTCAAACCTGAATTTGACATGATGCTATAGTCGAGTGCACTCAAGGTTCACTCATGCATGGCTCTGCTAATTTTCCACTTAGATTGGCTCAGGCAGGTTGACCTGGACTTGTGGGGGTCTTTTTTCGCAGGCCAACCCAAGTGGAAAATTGCAACATGGCTCACTCAAGGTTGAAGGTTCACTCACAGTGGATTTGTTCCCAACGTGTTTCAAAAAGCAAAGTTCATCGAGAATCAGAGTCCTTTATAGGGGTGGTGAACTGTTGACAGGCTTGACTCTCCCTTTTGACAAGGTTCACTGAACTCGCACAAAGGCACATTTTCACACCACACGTTCAGCCTTCAACGATGGTGCTTTGACCGATGGTGAGTCTTCCTGCCACGCCGATGCTTCTTTGACCGATGGTTCCTGCCACTCTTCTTCCTCCTGCGTCGTGACCTGGATCGTGAGCTGCCACTGTCATAGGTTGACTGATACGAACTCTGCGAACTTGATGAGGATGGCACACGCTTTTCACGCTTGTTGCGTAGTTTGCTCAACTCTGCTTTCGTGCTCTTTGCAGCCTCGATGTGACCTTCTGAAGCCGGTGAAGTTGGACTTGTCTGCGCTGCCGTTTCTACTGTCGATGAGCCACCAAAGGCCGCCGAAGATCCAACATACTCTTCAATCTCTGGCTTCTCTTCAGGAAGGTCATACTCAGGCTCCTCCGAACCCAACGCCGGCTCCACAACAGGCAGCAAGAAAGCCAAGTCATCACTGTCCCACTCCCCTTTGGAAATCGCTGCCGACAGCTGTGCGCCATACTCCCACACAGAAAGCGCCTCGTCGGCTGGATCAGGCTTTGCTTCAAGCTCACCTGAGGGTTCCGCTTTGGCCTCAGCTGGATGGCCATGGTACGGGCCTGGACCTGGATGGTATGGGTCAGTGGGAGCTGCAGTGTTGGGGGCTTTGGATTCAGGTGGAGCTGAATGCTGTTGTTGCCCCGCCGCCTTCGCTGTAGCTCCCTCCACCTTGACAAAAGCTGCAGGCGTCTGAAACGCAGCTGGCCCATCCCTCAGATGGGGTGGAGGAATTGGCGGGAAGGTGAACATGGCAGGCCGTAGGGTCACTGGCGGGGTGTTCGCTGGCCTAGGCTGGATAGGTTGCATCCTCAGAAGCTGCGTTTGGCAAGGGTGCGCTGGAGCAGCTGTTGGGCAAGGTTGCATTCGAGCAACTGTTGGGC